GGTAGTGCACGCCTGTAGTTCCAGCTACTTGGAAGGCTGAGGCGAAAGGATTGCCGGAGCCCAGCAGGTCGAGGCTGCGGTGGCCGGGAGTGTGCCACTGCACTCCAATCTGGGCAGAGTAAGACTCCAACTCGAAAAAAAAAAAAAATACTTAATTGGAAAGACAATATGACAGCAAGATTACAACAATATGGAAGAAGTAATAAAAGCACTCATCTTGCCACCTTTACATTATAACTATTTGAGGGACAGAGTGCCTTTCAAACTTCCCAATCTTTATTTTTTATTTTTTAGAGACAGGGTCTTGCTCTGTTGACCAGGCTGAATGCAGTGGGGGTAGTCATGGCTGACTACAGCCTCAAACTCCTGGGCTCAGGTGATCCTCCTGCCTCAGCCTCCTGACTAGCTGGGACTACAGGTGTGTGCCACCATGCCCAGTTAATTTTTTTATTTTTTGTAGAGACAGGATCTTTCTATGTTGCCTAGGCTGGTCTTGAACCCTTGGGCTTAAGCAATCCTCTCACCTTAGCCTCCCAAAGTGCTGATATTACATGTGTGAGCCACTGCAGCTGGCACATTTTTAAAGACTACATTTAAAAAATCAACAGGCTTTTTGTTTTAGTTTTATCTCATACCAATCCATATTTGAATTTCCCTGGCTATCTCAGGAATGTTCTTTTACAGTGGACTTCTTGGAACCTAGTCCAAACAGGGCTTCCAGGTTTCTGTTTCCTAAACTTCTCTTTTTAACCTTTCTTCACAGAACATTTCAAATATTTCTGCAAGTAGAGAGAGCAGCAAAGGAACTCCTAGGTGATCATCTCTGAGCTTCAGTGATGGTCAACAATAACCACTTTTTTATTTTTATTTTTTATTTTTTGAGTTGGAGTCTCACTCTGTCACCCAGACTGGAGTACAGTGGCCGCTTCTGGCCACCGCAGCCTCAACCTGGTGGGCTCCAGCAATCCTTCTGCCTCAGCCTTCCAAGTAGCTGGAACTATAGGCGCATGCTACCATGCCCAGCTAATTTTTTTGATTTATTGTAGAGATGAGGTCTCACCAAGTTGCCCAGGCAGGTCTCGAACCCACGGGCTCAGGCCGTCCACTCACCTCAGCCTCCCAAAGCGCGGGATTACAGGCTGAGCCACCGAGCCCGGCTAACAATAACCACTTTATTTTTTTATTTTATTTATTTTTATCTTTATTTTTTTGAGTTGGAGTCTCACTCTGTCACCCAGACTAGAGCACAGTGGCCGCTCCCGGCCACCGCAGCCTCGACCTGCTGGGCTCCGGTGATCCTTCCACCTCAGCCTTCCAAGTAGCTTGGAACTACAGGCACACGCTACCACGCCCGGCTAATTTTTTGATTTATTGTAGAGATGAGGTCTCGCCAAGTTGCCCAGGTGGGTTGCGAACCCGCGGGCTCAGGCAATCCACTCACCTCAGACTCCCAAGGCATGGGATTACAGGCTGAGCCACCAAGCCTGGCTACAATAACCACTTTAAACATTGTTTTTAACTTTTCATTTTGAAGTGATTTCACACTCACAAAAAGCTGCAAAAATAGCACAAAGAATCTCCACATTTCCTTCACGGGTTCCCCAAATGTTGGCACTTACCACAGTCATCAGTTACAAAACCAGGAAGTCCACACTGCTACAAGACTGTGAACTCTTCTAGAGACCTTTTTCAGATGCATGTCATCCCACTAACTGGAGATGTGTTACACTTAGCAGTCACATCTCTGGTGTCATTTACTCTGGGACACTTTCTCAACCTCTCTTTGTCTTCCTGATTATGGCATTTTTTTTTTCTTTTGAATCAGAGTCTCACTCTCGTTGCCCAGGCTGGAGTGCAGCAGCACACTCACGGCCACCACAGCCTTGACCTGCTGGGCTCAGGCATTCCTTCCGCCTTAGCCTTCCAAGTAACTGGAGCTACAGGTGCATGCCACCACGCCTGGCTTGTTTTTGTGATTTATTGTAGAGACAAGGTCTCACCAAGTTGCCCAGGCTGGTCTTGAACCCCTGAGCTCAGGCAATCCTCTTGCCTCGGCCTCCCAAAGTACTGGGATTACAGACTGAGCCACTGTGCCCGGCCGGCAGAAATCTTACAGAAACACCATGCCTCTCTTGGCACACCCTTGTCAGAGATGTGATATCATCTGCTCAGTTATTGGTGATGTTAATGCTGACCACCTGCTGAGACGGTGTCATCTCTAGAGCTGTCTCCTGTAAAGTTACTATTTATCTCTTTTAACAAATACCTTGTGGGAAAGCACTTTGACGTTATGTGAATATCCTCTGTCTGATCATTAGTCCTAATATTAGCATCCTTTGATAATTTCTACTTGAAACAGTTATATTGTGGTGTTTGCCAAATGATAATATTCTATTCCTGTCATTTTTTCTATATATATTAACTAGAAGTTTACTGTAAGGAAAGGCATGCCCTTCTCCCCCATTTATTTATTTATGATAACACAGACTTAAGGATATTTGTTATGCTCCATGAGTTATCATCCGTTCCTACCATTATTTGTTTTGTTGCTGTGCAAATTGTCCCACATGTGGCTGTTTGGACCTCCTTTCCATTTGAGTTTAACAACTGCTTGTTTAATCTATACCCCTACCTACTCCTCTCTCCCAGGTTACTTTGGTCAAAACCTAGGAATCATGACTTTATCTGTAAATATTTCTATGTGTCTCTAGAAGATAGGGTTCTTTTTAAAAACATAGATAATACCATTTGTCACATCTAAATAAAAAGAACATTAAGTTTTAGTGTCATCAGATATGCAGTCATTGTTCACATTTCCCTGCTTGTCCTGTAAGTGTTATATGTTTATGATTTGTTTAAATCAGGCTCCACGTGGAGTCTTTGCGTTGTGATTGGTCAATCTGGTTCTTTTTTCTTTTTTTTTTTTGAGTCGGGGTCTTACCAAGTTGGCCAGTCTGGTCTTGAACACCTGGGCTCAGACAGTTCTCTCGCCTCTGCCCCCCAAAGTGCTTGGATTACAGGCTTGGGCCCCCATGCTCAGCCCCGATATGATTCTTTTTTTTTTTTTTTTTTGAGTTGGAGTCTCACTCTTTCGCCCAGACTGGAGGGCAGTGGCCGCTCCCGGCCACCGCAGCCTCGACCTGCTGGGCTCCAGCGATCCTTCCGCCTCAGCCTTCCAAGTAGCCAGAACTACAGGTGCGCGCTACCATGCCCGGCTGATTTTTTGATTTATTGTAGAGATGAGGTCTCCCCAAGTTGCCCAGGCGGGTCTCGAACCCGCGGGGGCTCAGGCAATCCACTCACCTCAGCCTCCCAAAGGCGTGGGATTACAGGCTGAGCCACCGAGCCCTGCCCGATATGATTCTTAAGTGTGTTTTGATCTCAATCCCCTCCTTCCCCCGTTCCCTTTTGTTTTTCTTGCAGCTTTTTGAAGAAGCAGCTGGGTTTTTTGTCCTGTAGTTTCCCAGGGCCTCGATGTTGTTGACTGGTCTCCAGTGGTGTTCCTTGACATGCTTCTTTGTTCTCTCTCTTCCTTGTTTTGGTGCTATGCTTAGGTGCTCAATCAGTGTCCAGGTCATTTTTATCCGACAAGATTACTTTATAGATGATGTTGTGTTCTTCCATCAGAAGATACAGAACGTCCAGTTGTCTCCTTTTGCGTTGTTAGCAGCCATTAATGATCATTAACGGCCTAACTCCATTAATTCTCGAAGGGTTGCAGAATGGTAACATTTGGATTCTGTCATTCCTTCTTCATTATTCTCTGGATATACAGGAATACTTCTTCTTATCGATTATTTGTTACCCTGAGGTTCCTGTTGGATGCACTAGGCAAATAAATGCTTGTGTCTTTCTTTCTATTTATAAGTTTTCTTTTTTGGGGTTGGAGTCTCACTCCGTCACCCAGGCTGGAGTGCAGTGCCACACTCAAAGCCATTGCAGCCACAACCTGCTGGGCTCAGGTGATCCTTCCGCCTCAGCCATCCAAGTAGCTGGAACTACAGGTGCATGCCACCCTGCCTAGATATGTTTTTGATTTACTGTAGAGATGAGGTCTGGCCAGGTTGCCGAGGCTGGTCTTGAACCCCTGGGATCAGGCAATCCTCTTGCCTCCGCCTCCCAAAGTACTGGGATTACAGGTGTGAGCCACCATGCCCAACTATTTATTAGTTTTCAAAGTGATGAGTTGATTCTCTAGCATTCTCCCAGGTGACAAATGAGGTTTAAAAATACATACAACATTATAAACCAACTTAAACATACGCGACCTGTTTCAGTTCATTGCAGTTATGTATTTATTTATTTATTTTTGAGTTGGAGTCTCACTCTGTCGCCCAGACTGGAGTGCAGTGGCCCCTCCCGGCCACCGCAGCCTCGACCTGCTGGGCTCCGGCGATCCTTCCACCTCAGCCTTCCGAGTAGCCGGAATTACAGGTATGCGCTACCACGCCCGGCTGATTTTTTGATTTATTGTAGAGATGGAGTCTCGCTGCCCAGGTGGGTCTCGAACCCGCAGGCTCAGGCAGTCCACTCACCTCAGCCTCCCAAAGATG